CAGGGAGCTCAAAGTGGGGCAGGGGAGCAGGGGCACTGCAGCTCCCCTGGCACTTGCCGCTGTGTTGGGTGGTCTTTTGTGGGGGGATTTTATTTTATATGTGGTTTTATTCGTGCCCACCGATGGCCTTGGACTTTCTCGTCGTAATCCAGGTGTCCACCGCCAAATCCTGTTCACGACGGTGGGCTGGTTTGTTGGATACCACCTCATAAAACGTTCGGAGTATATACACGCCAAGCGGGACAGAGAGCTGTTGGAGTATGTCAGGCAACATCCCGAGGACTTTAAGATACAAGGTATAGTGAGTTGTTATTTTAAGAAAAACATTGATCTGCCATAATGTAGACACTAATAAGCACTAATATTTATCAATATGTTGCTGTGCTACTGATCAAATCCATTCTTTACTGGCGAGTCCATCATACTTTGCATTTGATTTGCAACATCAATTGCAGCAGTAGTCAGGAAACCTGATGTATAAAAAGAGAGATAAATATGTGATTTAAAAAGAGACATTCTCACTCAGCAAACCAGCTGCCTTGATAACTCTCTCTTATTCTGAAAAACTTATTTTAGTATAAAAATTGCAACACCACAGCAGACTAAATTCATGCCAGTGAAAGAGAAACAGTGAAAGTAAGAAAAATTTGCCCTGGGCTGTGTCAGTAGATAATCTGTAGAAATAACCCTGAAGAACAAGCTCCCTTTACTGGTGGGAAAAGGAAGAGAAGTTTCCTACTCAGTTTCTGCATCAAGTTAATAGTTCACCGGAGGTAGCAAGAGACAAGTGTTTGGTGACCTTGTTAGCTGGTTTTTGTCAATAAAATAACCCTTTGCTATTTGAGACTTCAAAATCTACCTCAAATATTGTGTTGTTTTTTTTTCCCCAATTCCATTAATTGCCTTTTGCAGAAAAGAAGAAAATAGGAGAGCTTTTGGAGGATTTCTATCCCGTTCGCTGAGGATTTCTTCAGCAGCTGCGAGCTTGTGTCACCAAACACAGAGCTCCCAACCAGTTCCCACTGCTAACTTAAACAAGCTGAACCTTAGTAACATTGAAACGCACAGAGCTTGGGAAAAAAGGCTTATTCATTTTCATTTAATTAAAATTATGATTAAATACGTAAGTGTTTCATTATTCCTTGCTTTGACATTATATCATTGTACGTGTAGCATTGATATTTGTAATATGGTAATAATCTCAATTCATCTCTTTTTATGTTTTTAAGAATTATTAAGGCTATTAATTGTGAAAATGGAACGTTGTTTATGTAGAGTACTTAAACAGGTGGATGGAGAGATTCCTGCTTTCTGATTCTCACTAGCTTTTTCCCTAACTTTGGAGCAATCAGCCCTGGAGGACACTAGTGGAATCAAAGCCAGAGGTTGACTGTTAAGAAGTTCTGTACCACCAGGGGCAATATAGGCCCTCTGTAATTGATTCCCTCTATGTTTTGCCTCCTCACTTTGCTTTTTCCTTGCTGAGGAGGAAGATCAGGATCCAACCTTTCTACTTCCCAACTTGGTTTGTGGATGCTGAATCCACAGCTCGAACCCTGGTGTTTTCCAGATGTGCTGGAGATCTGCAGCTCTTCTGAATTTCACTTTGGGGGCAAAGTGCTCGGCCCATCTGAAGGCCAGAGAGTTTCCAAATGTGTTTTAACTGCTTGGGTCTGAAAACGCAGAAATGTAAAAGAAATTGTTGAGGCTGTTTTAGTGTCTTTAAGCAAAGTCAGCAATGGTTCGATATCACCAAGGAAACTTCTGAAAACGGTCTTGAAAACCCTGCGAAATTTCTAGTATTTTTGCAGATTTACACCTCCTCCTTGCCTTTTTTTGTTACTGGGTAGTGACTCTCTTAACCTCCCCTTGTGAGCAATGGTTCCAAGCACATAGTGCATTTTTGCGGGTACAGGGGAGGATCCGGATAGGAGGAAGACTCCAGCTTTTGTTGCAACCATTATCAAAGTTCCTTTGTTGGTTTAAATTACCAATCTGGATTTCTCAATCTGTGGGATTTTGGGCCAAGATCCCTCCAGGGCTGTTGCATTCCCTAGCGAGCAGCCTCTAGCCAGGGCAGCTTTTTGCACTGTGCACTGTCTGGAGGTACTTTCTCAAGCGCCTTTTTTTGGGAGGAAGCCAGAAGCTTTAGGAGCTGGAGCTGTTCGTACCCCCTGGATGCGGCTGCGGGTTCAGCTCCCTATTCCCATCCCGTCCTGTCGCTCTTGGGTGTTAGAGCTGCTGCTGCTGGAGCAGGAGTGTGTCCTTGCTGTAAGGCAGGAGGTGGCCCTCAGCTCCAGCATCCCTGTGTCCTGGGATCCACATGCCCAAGAGCAGAGGAGCCTGTGTAAAATGGGTGTGAGGAAAGGACCTGTCCCCCTCCATCCCAGGGGACTGAAAACGGGCCACGTCCACCACCAGGAGCTGAGGCAGCCCTGCTAGAGGAGAACCCCCCTCAGGGCCAGCCCTGCTGGGTCAGCACATGGGGACACTGCTCTCCACTGCTGAAGAGGAGCTTTCCCCTTCCCTGTCCCTAGGAGAGGCTTCAGACAAGGCTTCAGCCATGGAAAAAGCACCACTTCTGATCGCTCGGAGAGGCAGGGGACGAGCTGCAAATGAACAGTCAGTGCTGGAGAGGGCACCAGCATCTCTCGACTTTGTGTGACTTCCGAGGATGTCCGTGTTGACTTTGGGAAAAAGGAGTTCCCAGTGACCACTGAGGTGCCTCTATTCCAGCCGTGCTGTCAATGGTGGCCTGAGCTCTGGTGTCCTCAACTGCCTGGTTCTGTCCTGGTCACAGGGGAGCCCAGAGGCGCCGCCCGGGACCGGCACCGGGTCCCTGCTGAGCGGGGTGGCAGCGCAGAGCCTGGGCGCCGCGGCTGGGCAGGGCTGCTCCCGACCTCCTGCCTCCGTGGGGGCAGCCACCGGGACCCCCACCTGAGTGACATCCACGCACGGGGCCCCGGAGCATCCAGGCTCCCCCCAGCCGGGACACGG